ACTTTACGTGTAGTACACAGGGCCTCGGTTTATTGTCCCATCTGAACCACTAGACGCATTTCAGGGACACTGATAGCATCAATTTGCACCATTTGCATCAGAGGTCTATGGTTCCTGCAATTCCTGTAAAACTAAGCATTTTATGACTTCAGAGCTGCAAAGTAGTAGGTAAGAGCATTGGAATATATACGTAACGTCAATTGCTGGGTTATGTCCAAAAAATGATGGTCGTGTGTTCTTATCTCTGTCAGTGTGTGAAAGTCTGGTGACAGTGATTAACAGAAATTTGCCATATATTTATTGACTTCACGAAAAATATACAATTTCATTTGATTCGCAACTCGTCGTGATGAATTTTAATTTTGGCTAATCATAGAAAATGTTGGAGCGCAAATATGGGTTCATTTTGACATGCAAACAGCAATGCGAAAACGCTTAAACCCTGCGTGGATAAGAGAAGCATCTCTTTTTCAAAAAAAAATTTGTATTCCTACCTTCCAATCCAATCGACCGATAAACCCTCAGCGCTCGGAACGTTGTGTTGAATGATGACTTCCTGTCCGGTACCATTTAGATAAATACGGTAAATCTTATGAGCCTTGACATCCGTAAAATACAAACGATCTTCTTTAACGTCAAAATCTAGAGCAACCACATTGTCAAACCCTTGGGCGACTCTTCTGTAGTTCTGGCCGTCTGTTGATAGTTCTCTAACATAGTAACGATTAGCGAATACTAGCCATGGTTTAATATCTGAAACATGGTATAAATGCATTAAAGGCCTTATTCTGGAAAACTTAACTTAAAGGGACAGATGCGCCATTTTCAAGGGGGTTTGATTTGAGTCTTGAATATCAAGTCTTCAGAAATACTAGAAATGTACGAAAATCACAAAATTCCTTTAAAAATATCTCAAACTAGAAATTTCACTTTCTATTTCTATAGATGTCTTTTCTATATATCACAGTGTCTCAAGAAAAGACGAGTCGTCATTTTAACATTCAAACACGGATAATTCTGGACACATAAAGATAAGAAAGCAAACATCTAATTCAACTTATCACCATGGCAACAAGGGAGACAACCAAACAAACGATACTTAGTGTCCATCTTATATGAAATACCGTCTGCTTGCAGAATCACCATGGCAACAGTGGGAAACAGAATAAATGGCATTGTACTCAAGACCTCCTATAGCAACCAAATCCCCATGGAAACCGATTTGAAAAAATGCAAAACTTACTGTCTATTTTTTTTACAAGAAATGCCGCCTGCTACAATTTTATCTCCATGGCAACATAATTTATGCAAAACCAAACAATATTTACTTAGGCAACATGGAGATACAGTACAGCTAGCAGAGTAACCATGGCAACAAGGGAGAGAAATAAAAAATCCAATACTTACTGTCTATCTTCTTGCAAGAAATACCGTCTGCTTGTCGTTGGTAACCTTCTGTACATTTACATTTGTAACTTCCTTCCGTATTCTCGCAGATCTGACTACAAGCCCCTGGCACGTCTGTACATTCGTTGATATCTTGACACGCCTTTCTGTCCGACATCAATCGATAGCCTGTGTGACATTCACAGTGAAAGCTCGTTAATGTATCGACGCATTCGTGTTCACATTGGTTAATCTCTGTCTTTTCACATTCGTCAATATCTACGAACAAAAAATAGATCGTAAGTAACATTTGGATAAAGAGTTAAGAAAATTACATGATGAAAGACTTTTTATGTGTACAGCCTGTAGCACACGGAGCCTTGGTTTATTGTCCCATCTGAACAACTGGACACTTTTTCCGACCAGCATCACTGACAGGGGGAAACCGGGTTGAAATATCTCGACCTATGCTAGGATTGAACCCTGGACCTTCAGGTCAGCAAGAAAGCATCTAACTCACTGAGCCACCACCGCTCCCGTTGACAGAAGTATAGAGTTGACCCAATGCAATCTTTCGTAACCACCAACCGGGGAAGGATTCTACAACAGCGTTAAATTACAAACTTACGGCAATGTTTTTCATCAGATTCGTCCGAACAATCAGGGTTTTTGTTGCAGACGACATTATAAGATACACAATCTCCACTGTCACAACGAAACTCATTTCCGGCACACGTTGGTTCTGGTGTTACTAAAAATAGAAACCAAATTCTTAGTCTAATCAAAATTAGATCCAACTTTCGTTTCATTTTTTATTATCTTTTATTTTTAATATAGCCACTTCAGTTAGGGTCTAACGACAGCCCTCTTGAACGTTCGTCAAATTGACCTTTTGACCTTCCCCTGCTTTAACCAATCAAATTTACGCTTTCTCCAGTGTTGGCGTTTTGTGATGAGATCAAATGGTGTATTTTCAGGAGGAATAGACTAGTTTATCAAACCCATTGAAAGTAAAAATAGAAAACACGCCTTTTCATTTTTTTTCGAATTGACTCACTTAAATTTGATTGGTTAAAGCCACAACAGTTGTCCCCCCATAGAGTCAGTCTGTCCGCTTATTTGTACCCCCAGTCTCAGGAGGCTCCATGAGAGGCTTGTGACTATGACACCTCCACAGAGTTGCCACAATTCCAATTCAGCCTCGACAGTTGTCCCCCCATAGAGTCAGTCTGCCCAATATTTGTATCCCCAGTCTAGAGAGTCTGTCAGTCTGTGCCCTATTTGTATCCCCAGTCTAGAGAGTCTGTCAGTCTGAGCCCTATTTGTATCCCTAGTCTAGAGAGTCTGTCAGTCTGTGCCCTATTTGTATCCCCTAGTCTAGAGAGTCTGTCAGTCTGCGCTCTATTTGTACCCCTAGTCTAGAGAAGCTGTCAGTCTGAGCCCTATTTGTACCCCTAGTCTCGGGAGGCTGTCAATCTGTGCCCTATTTGTACCCCTAGTCTAGAGAAGCTGTCAGTCTGAGCCTTATTTGTATCCCCAGTCTAGAGAGGCTGTCAGTCTGTGCCCTATTTGTATCCCCTAGTCTAGAGAGTCTGTCAGTCTGCGCTCTATTCGTACCCCTAGTCTAGAGAGTCTGTCAGTATGTGCCCTATTTGTATCCCCAGTCTAGAGAGGCTGTCAGTCTGTGCCCTATTTGTACCCCTAGTCTAGAGAAGCTGTCAGTCTGAGCCCTATTTGTACCCCTAGTCTAGAGAAGCTGTCAGTCTGAGCCCTATTTGTACCCCTAGTCTCGGGAGGCTGTCAGTCTGTGCCCTATTTGTACCCCTAGTCTCGGGAAGTTGGCGTCACTACTAGTCTTAGTTCTAGTTATAAAATTGAAAAATAGTTACGGCAAACATTTTCTTTTTCATCAGAATTGTCTCTACAGTCATCATCACCATCACACACCCATCTTTGTGGTACACATCTTTTATTATCACAGCTAAACTGTCCTGAACTACAGCTAGCATAATCTATAAATATATATTTTCTTATATCAAGGGCTGTAACTCAAGGAATATTTGTCAAATTATACTCTAATTCGAACCAAGATCTTGTGGATATAATCCTACACACGGAAATTTTATAAATTCTGACAAACAGTGTCCTGAACTACAGCTAGCATAATCTATAATATGTATATTCTCTGTAATCAAGGGCTGTAACTCAGGGAATATTTGTCAAATTATACACTAATTCTAACCAAGATCTTGTGGTTATAATCCTACACACGGAAATTTTTTAAATTCTGACAAAAACTGTCCTGTACTCAAATCAAGATAAGTTTCAAAGAATATTTGACCAATCAGATGACTGGAACACTAAAGAATAATTCCTGTGGTCAGATTTGTCCTAATAAAACCTAAATAACAGAAAAGAGCAGAAAGCGAAAGTAGAAATA